GTGAAACTGATATCACGAACTTCATCCTCCTAAGCAGAGCCAGACAATCGCTAAAAGTTCCCTTCATCGCGTCTGGTGGATTTGCCGATGGCCAAGGTCTTGCGGCTGCGCTTTCGCTCGGTGCTGAAGGTATCAATATGGGAACACGATTCATGTGTACCGTCGAGGCACCAATACACGAGAACATCAAGAAAGAAATTGTCAAGGCTTCTGAAGTTGATACTCAGCTCGTTCTTCGAAGATGGAAGAACACCTCTCGCTTGTATAAAAACAAGGTTACTGCACAGGCAGTAAAGATTGAACAAGAGAGCAAGACTGGAGAGTTTGCGGAGGTTGCTCCTTATGTGAGCGGTAAGAGAGGTAGAGAAGTCTTTACCACTGGAGATCCCGACTACGGAGTACGTATCAACATCCAAACACTCATAACTCATAAACTAATTATATTTTAGGTTTGGACCGCAGGCCAAGTAATTGGTCTCATTCACGACATCCCGACGTGTGAGGTACTTTGTAAGAGAATCGAGAAGGAGGCCGTGGAGACATTGAACAAAGCTTCATCTCTCTTTCAACCAACAAGCAAGCTCTGATTGTATAGTGTCTTCATGTATGTATTTTACCATAATGATTGTTTTGATGCCCTTGACATCTGGTTTCCCTACAATATGTGAAAGGAAAATTACCTATGCTACTTATGGAGAGGTGCTTGGGCTGTGATACCTGCTTAGTTGGCCAAAATATGTACTCACAGTCTGGTTGGCATCCAGCCCGACTAACCAACTGACAAAGTAATTTGAGGATAAATTTTTCCTCTGAAACTTTTCTGGTTTCCTTTTTCTTCAACCCCCCTGAAACTTTGATTTTTGTGAAATTAATCCACGTGCCACAACACCAACATCACTGAAAGCATTTGCCTACGTTACCAGAACCATTCTTCTTATCATCATGCATAGAAAAATCCAATTTGTTCCCTCTGTCAGTCAAAAGAGTAATATAATAAAAACCAGCAAGGGTCAAGGCAATCTCCGCCCAGAGGCAATTGCTGAGAAAACAAAGACCGAGAAGACTGACAATTGAAGAGCATGTGATTCCGAGAACTTGTTCATTGGCAGCTTGAGCTGGCACATCGATGATGGGATCTACTGTAGGCGCAACGCGAAATCAAGAGAGCGATTACAAGACACACGCGGGGTAGCTTAAGTGTTCTCACCATCCAATCTATCTAAAACTTGCCACTAATGCTACCCAGAAATGAGAAAATGAGCATCTTTTTGTCATCAACGCTTGGAGCCTTCTTTTCAAATCACTCCGTCGTTCTGAAGAGCCAGTGACTGCCAATTGTTGGGATTCTTATGCTTGGTTTCACAACCCACATGGATCATTCCCCCATTATCACCAAACCAAAATCAAATCCACAAACTTCTCCATACAACGAGAAAAAAGTCGGTATCAGGATGTCTAGTCCAACAGAGGACCTAGATACTCTGGCTGCGCTAGCTAGCTAGCAGAATAAGAGCCATATCGATTATCTGCTAAGAATGGCTGCTCTCTTTCTGTAGCCCAGCTTCAGAGTCTTCAATGAGTGTTGATGATATGAGTAGTTTACTTGCCATGGAAGAGAATTTGGATGAAGAGGGATAATGGGATTGGGGCTCAATGTTACTAAAGAAGGATCGAGGAGATGGGCGAAACTGATTGTCTAAGATCTTTTTGGAGAGATCGATCAACAAGAATAGGAGATCACTTACACGGACATTCTGTGAGAGTTTCGTGGACTCGCTAGATGGTTCTGTGAGTTCTGATGAGGGATAAAACAGTGGAGAGAAAACAAATTAAGATCGAAAGCGAACGGCTTGTGATTCGTTCGGTCTCCGTTGTCTTCTGAGAACATAGTAAAGGGGGAACGGAATTCACGGGTCATTGCACATTTTATGAATCATCCTTTGCGAATGCTTCGAGTATCTATAGGCATTTTATCCAGTTCATATTCTCTAAATTCAGATATATCACATCAATCACTTCACCTACGAGATTACGACGGGATGACCGCTGGTGGACTTCGGCCTCGTTACAGAAAGCGACGTATAAGTATCAACAAACCCCAATCGAAATCATTCCCATACGAACGAAGGATAATGTATCGTATTCCTATAGTATTTCGGATCGAAGTCAAATACGCAAGTACTTCATTAGCGAGCTTCGTTACTGTTATGTCGACAAGTCTATTGGGAAACTTTTGCTGTGAGCATTCGCATGATACAACGGAAGTGTTGCTTGTAGTCTATGAATTGTCTTGGTGCATGTTGGCATTCCAATTGTATCGTATTTGTTGATAGAATTTGGCACAGGTGGTAAAATACCAATCTAGAATTCGATCAATGATGGAATCGTTTGAATATTGAAAGCTAGATTCTCTTTCTGAGTTTCGTAAAGTAATGGAGATGTAGAGAGTCTCCCAAGCTGGTGTATGCAGCCGATACAGAAAAATTTTCAATGTTTCAATGTTGCTCTTAAGAACTCGCTCTATTTGCAGACTGTACTATGCTGTGTGTTAAAACTCCTTGTTTTGTCATGTTTTTGCGCTTTTGTGTCACATTCAAAGCAGGGTCGTAACGAAGTGTGATTTTAATGATTTTTGTGACTTAAAAGCGTAAAATCATTTTATCGAAAGGCAGGCTACTGCTGCAAAAGAAGGAAATTTTCATATTTGATAACGCATTCCTGCGGAACGCATTAAGTCCACCCATAGCTCATTACCCTAGCCTCTCTGCACATTTCATAATCCCCCATGGAACATGCAGTTAAGAAATCCATCCCCCATGTCAAAAGCGGAAGCGTCTGCTTTCATATGCCCGCTTCTTCTCCTCTTGGTGTGCCTGCATATCCTCTTTTTTGCCCATATTCGACCAGTACCAACTCGACTGGCCATGACAAATCCTGCAATTCCCACTATACTCTTTTTCTAAATCATTCTGATAATAAACGAATGCCATATCGCTCCCCTCACTGGAATTTTGCATACAATCTAAGCACAGGCCATGGAAGCTGGATTGAATTTCGTTTCGAATACGTTTGATAGCAACCGAGTTTAGATGAGCTATACAATTCATACACGCCCTTTCCGGAATCGTGCACACGAATTTGTCGAAACTGTTCAAGATTTCTTGGATACTCTTCTTGCCAGCCGACTCAATGGGCCAGATCTCCATCTTGCTAAGGCCTGTAGTATAAGCGAAGCTGGAAAACTCTTTGCAACTGCACCGTTGATGTATAAACCAGTCGAGTGGGCCAAAGACGCCTTTGAGGAGCTTCACGCGAAGACTACCTCTGGCACCATTCAATGAACCTGTAGAATTTGTTAGATCAGTTTTGCTCATATCAATGAATGAGAAACTCACCCATGACTCTGGAAGGCAAATGGAGGTGTCTGTGTCGCGACGGATTTGCCTCCTGAATATGATCTGCCATTCCGTATGCCAGCTTTCTTGTAATGAACTGGAACTCCCCGATACGATCAAGCTCATGGGTTAGGTACAGAAAAGATCTCATTTCTTCAAGACTCTTCGTTTCAATCTTTTGATTCTTGAACCATTGTGGTGACCAATCTCTCAGTTTTTGTATGCCGTCATGCATCTGACGGTATCCGCAGATCTGGATGGCTTCATATATTTCCTCAGCTTTGAGGTCATACATTTCATCAATCATGTCCTGATGCAAGATCCGAAACCAAAGCTCATAACTCTTCACGGTTCCATCCTCGATGTCTACAGTGGTCTGCTTGGATTCCTTGGCCCATCCTTTGAGGCAAGTATTGAACACAGAAGAATTGTCTGTGAGAACCTTTCTGCAGACTCTGTAAGTTGCGAGGGCGGTGGTTTGTTCTGATTCTCTTTCAGTAACGGGATCGATGGTGGTCTTTTTGTCGATGAGTCGGATAGTCAGGTCTCCTTTGGGATCGATGACCAAATGAACCGGTGGCTAACAAGAATTCAGCGACAGAACGAGGGTTTCTCTGGGCATATCACTTACTGCTGGAGGTGAATGGCTTGCCATTGTTGATCTTGTTACTCCAATCTCTGATCTGAAGCTTGTCGTTGATCTTAATTGAGAAGTTGAAGATCGAAGAGTGGAAAGCCAGAGGTTGAGAGAGGAGATGTTTACAAGAGAGTGTTAAGAGCACTAGCGTAGAAAGAAGCAAAATCAGAGGACTTCAAGTGAATATCCAAAAGTAAGACGAGACGGGACAAAGGTGATAGATTGAAGCTCAGATAGGTAACATAGCGATATTGAAAGTGAACAGACAAGACAAATCCAGGGCATTGAAACTCAAACAATAAGAAAGGTGATAGACAGTCTAGACCAGTTCACAAACACGAGAGGAGAGTTCTTCGATCCAACACCCATTATCATCTGAACATGTCCATGAAGTTTTATTGATCCATCTCTTCTAGCCTCTAAAATGACCTAGCAATGACGAGAACCAATGAATGTAAGATCTTACTACTAGATAGAAAGTAAAAGTAAAGGCGAGATATCTAAGTAACCCTAAAAACGCACCGAGATCTCTTCCCTCCTACAAAACAGCCAAGAATGCATCGCTAAATTTACCAATTCAAATGATCCACTTATCAATCATTCTTCAAAGTGACCATATAGTCATCTCTTCAATATCAGGGTATCTCCAACACGTCGCTCAAATTATTACCACCCATCTCAAGCCATCTCAAGCCATCTTATCCATTATCTGATGTCCTCCAGACCCAAAAAAAATAAAAAATAAAATGGACCATCAAAATGGCAAAACTGGGGGCGACCCAGAAACCCGGCTTTCCGTGCTTTTTTCTGTTACAATCTACACTCTACACTCTACACTCTACTCTACACACCAACCCACAGGATTTCATTTGGAACACGGACTTGCCTACTGCGCCATCAGGCCCGTGGGTTGGTGCTGGAAGTAGGCGATTTCCTATATATATAGGTAATAAGCGCATGTCGCATATTCACTCAATTTCGTTCCGGTCTTGCATCGGAACTTGGACTGCAGGCGCATGTTCGACAGCCGTATCTTTGAATGCTGCTTCAGCTTGCGGCACTGAATCTGATTCGCCAACAATTGCATCTTTTCGATGGACAGCACGCCATCCCTCTGTTTTCTCGATAGCGGCTTTTTCTGCTTCTTTTAGCCATTTCTCCCACTTCGCTGTCGAAGGTGCAGCCCCACTCGTCTTCACCCATCCGATTTTCTGTGTCTCTCGGATCGCGTACCATAATGTTCTAGTGAAAGAAGGCCTTCCATCAACATCGTCCGCGTTCTGCTCCAGATTTGCTCCTTTCGCATCTTCAGGCGTAATTTCCTCCCATTTATAGCTCGACAGATCCCATAATCTCCTTTTGTTCATCAAAGCTACCCCCCAGTATGCACCGTTGAGAACGATATAAGACGCACCAATAGAGATTTGCATTTGGAAATCACAATTTCCAAGGAGCACGACCGAAACCATGAGTAGACAAGTACCGATGCCAACAAGCACTCGGTAGGGATCTTTCTTAACATAGTATTGGCATTCCTCAGTTCCGTTATATAGTTCTCGGGCAACTTCTTCTTTGCACTTAACTACGATGAATGCTCCTTCCCTGGTGCGGATCACAACATCGCCCGACAGAACTTTGACGTTGTTGTTGCGATTCATGAGAGCGGGTGACCAATAGGATGCGTAACCAACGATTGATGAGGCAAGGGACATAGTAAAGAGTGCAACACATGCTGTTCCGTCATGGGTCAACACGGCCCATATAAAAAGTCCAATGGTCAAGAAGAATGATATTAGAGAAAGACAGTTGAGAGGTGACCACAATCTAGCTGGCACGTGGGGTTTCTTGTTGTCGACATTGGTTCCACGATGGGTGATTCTGGCTCTAAGTGTATCACGACGTCGAGGTTGAGGCGTTGTGCCGCTCTCTAATGAAGATTCGATACTGCTAGTAGCCAAAACCTGCCTCTCCTTGTTCGCGGGTGTAGGTGGAGTCACCACCGGAGGAGGGGCATTTTTATGCTCGATCTCGAAGACCTTGAACTCGAAAGGCTTGAGCTCTTCTATTGGATGTATGATGTTTGGGAAGAAGTTGAGTGATTGCACATATACTCCGTTATGTACACCGACCACAGCAGCGTTAACTTGTGGCATTCGAGAGGGACGCGAAGATTTGAGGAGGACTTGTGGGGCGGGAATGATTCGAGGGAGCATGCACATCCAAGATGAGGTCATAGTTTGCGAGTGATCAGCCATGGCAGATTCCCCTATGACTGCCAAGAGTGACACGATATCTAATCGCCATCCTTCACTGTGGTAGTTGTTAGTCTATGGACAGGATATGAGAAGTATGCGAATGATGATATGACATCTAACATACCGAGCCTCTTTCCCCGAGGGAAACCATGAATTTGTCATCTCCAATACTGTGTCGAAGGTCTAACGCCTGATGGCTGTCGTCTCGAATCTTCGAGGTTCGACTTCGAGTCAAATGTAGTAACCGTGCTTGCCGTTCTGTTTTCTCTTTCCTCCTTTCTCACACGCGTCTCAAAGTTGTAAATATCAGGTTTTCGCTTTCTCAACGACTCTTTTAATATCTTATCCTTTTTATTTTCGTTCGACTCTTTACTCCCCCAAGAAAAGAAGCCTTCGTATATTTATTGTTCATAGGGGAAGATCAAAAAAAAAAGAAATCTACAGAGCCTCATGCCAGCTTGCCTAGCTGGCATATATCATCCGGTTCCATACCCCTCCATCTTCAACAAGTGACCCAAAAGGGCAATCGCGTCTCACAGGCCCTGGGAGCTGAAAAACGCGGAGCCAGTAGCGCGTGGGTCGGAGATACCATTGCAGGGGATGTGTCAGAGGGCTGTGCCTATGTTTACACACCCACCTGGTCAGCCTACTTCGCACATTGCTTTTATATGATGAAGGTTCGTTTGCGGTGCCATGAATTGGATGTCCTTTCTTGGCTGCTGAAAAGAGTTTTATCATATGATTAGATAATACGAATGTTGAGTATATTCTTACAAATTTCGAAAGTTTAAATTTCCTGTTAATCCGGATGTTGTTATGAGAATTTAGCGATTATGTCCTAACATTTAGCGTCTGTTCAGCGTTCAGACCACTCTAAAGTCCCAGTGACTCCCTCTCGTGAGTCCCGTCGAAACTAAATCCATATTAGTGCAGGCCAAGCCCTATAAGTGGATGTTGAATACCCTCAAGCGACTAGCAGTGCCCTTTAGTACCTCGTTGTGAGGTTGTTTCCCAATTTCAAGGTTTCTTAACCACATGTTCATCTAATTTTTGTTTCGTTTGTAGATTTTCCGTTTGTTTTCCGTTTGTCAACACATGTCTGTCTACCATTCTTTTGCTACCATACATACATTCAAGTTCAGCAAAATCTACATTCGGCGGCTATGCATGCACGAAACCTCGGAGTTCAGAGGAAAGAGGTAAGGAGGCGGCACAGCAAACAGGGACTCTGAAAAGAAAAAGCGATTTTATTCGAATCTCTTTTCGGCCAGACATTACGGGGCGGAAATGGACATTTTCGTTGGTAGATGAAGGGGTATTTATTATACGCGGCGTTCACGGTTAGTAAAAGATATTGCTGTTCTATCCATAGCTGATGAGACACGAGCATCTACTGCATATATTGAATCTCTTTTCTACGATACTTTCGTCACCACCAAATAATCGATTGGGTAACAAACAATGACCAGCTATTCAACAATGCCGTGGTGCCGTCTTGGAACTCGATAATACTACATAGATAGATATTTGTAGATGCCTACCCGTAGGTACCCATCTAGGCATGTGATCGTTTCGAGGCTGAATGTAATAATGGCTGGAGTCATTCCTTTCTTATTGCTCATGTCAGATTCAAGTTGAGGTTTGTACAACTTCAATGATAGATATATGGGGGCCAAATCCCGAGATAAGGAATCTCATAATTAAATAATATGGTAAAAGCATAGTAAAAGTCATCAAGTATAATAATAAACATCATACACCCAAAATCCAAAGTAAGAAGTCGTCTCTCGTTGTGACTCGTATATCAATATCTCGTGCGCCTCAACGCCCACAATCATCTCGCTCCCACCCATTTTCTGATTCCTAGGCCACAGCCTCATCTTACATGCAGTCGGCGGTATTAAATGAAGTTGAAATCAACGAAAGTGCCTGAACAAGGCACGATAGTCGTGTAACTCCAATCCCTCCCCTGATCGTCTTGGTAAATAATCAATGTCGATCAGATGCTGGTGTCCATTCATTTACCCAACTATACTTATCAACAATCCACTGACAGTAATCTCTCCATCTCGTGGTCCATTCCTTAGTAACGTCTTTTTTCTCCTCGTTATCCATGCAGCTATATTCTAAGCTCCACTCTGCAAGTTGCTTCCAGCCGTGAAGAGACATTGATTCAGAGCCAACCATTACTTGATAGAAGTCGTGAGATAAGGATGATCTAATATATGTTAGTGAACGTTCGTTTGATGGGGATTAGGAGAACATGCCTATAGAATGTAGCATTATCGCTATTGATCGTACAAGGCACATCGTTTGCCAGTAGAACCGGAAGGTTGTGTCCCGCAATGTTCGGAGTGAGGCCAAGAACCTCGTTAGAGATAGGACATGATTCGATAGCAATTTTCTTTTCTTTGAATATCTCCATGAGAATAGGATGTCTCGCGACTGCGTAACCGTGTCCTATTCTCTTTGCATTTAGTAATATCGCATCGAAAAGATTGCCATCCACTTTTCCGCCAACCTCTAGCGTCTCCCCACAATGGAATAGAAATGGGATATCTAGCTTTTGGTCTCGACATTTCCGACGGAATGCAAGAAATTCGGGCACGAAATGTCGAAGCTCGTTTCCCATCTCTTCGTGGCCCACAAGATCAAACCCTAGATTCTTGTTAGTGGAAGTGTGTAGATTTGACATTTAAAGCAGACTAACCACAAAGTAGTTTCTGATACTTCTTCTTTAAATCAATGCACTCGTCTAAAGCTATCTCAATTTTGCCTCTATCAAATGAGCGAGGTGTGCAATAAATGACTTTCATGCCCCCGAAGTACTGGCCCTTGCTTCGAATCTCTTGCATAGTCCGGTGGAGCTCTTCGTTGATGATATTCATAATCCCCTCATTGCCAATAGTTCTTGTGCCATCATCAGACTTGAGGGAATTCGTAGCCATGAAATTTGGGCGTATCTCAGCATACTGGATGTTATCTTTGACGAAATCTTTAATGCACTCCTTGGTGTAGTTTCTGAATGCGGATTCATAAGCAAATAATCCTTTCATCATCTGAGTCCTATAATTGAACTTTTCCCAGATGCTAATCGTGTTAGCCATGAAATCTCCCATCGAATGTGTATACATACCCGCGACCAGTTTGAGAGCAACCATGGGCCTCGTCTTCCGAAATCAACATTTTTCTCTCAAGCCATATTTCAGCACCAGTCGTACCGCTCAACCTTGTCTCATTCTCGTCTACAAAATCGAACTTCCTTTGAAATTGCTTGTATGGCATCCAGCTGTTGGAGACATAATCAATATCTGTGATAACTCCCAGAGGAACATAAGTTTCTTTTTCCTCTCCTTTCACGTGGGTTGCTTCATGAGGTGTCATTACCATAAAAGAGATTCGTGAAGCTGTGTAATTTTCTCGTGACGTTAGAGGTAGAGTACTACGGATGTACATTGCATCAACATCTCTAGCTTGCTGTATCAAGAATTGTGCTGGTAAACATGAATTGAAATGAATGTGAAGGTGAGCTCCTTTTGGCATTCGTTTTGCAATCTCGAATAATTTCGTATCATTGATGAGATCCACGTTTCCCAGAAAGTGCTCTCCTTGAGTTTTCTTTTCAGTAGCGAGATCTTTCGCGTCGACTGATTTTCCATGAGTATTTTCCCAATCAAAATTTCTGATTCTCTGAACAATTTTTGCCGCTTTTTTTTCCACTTCTGAAGCCAACTCTTCAGCTTTCGCATCAAATGCAGTTCTCCGTTCAGCCAGCTGAAGAGACTGAAGAGCTTTATCATAATCTTCTGGAGTGTCGAATTCTCTTTTCTCGATCGCGAGACGCCAGATTTCCTTTGCTCTTGTCCCAGGTCTTCCAGATTGAGGCATCTTCAAGATACTGGATCTCGGCTTCTCTCTCTGGATCTCTTTGATTTCGCTATCCGGCGCTTCCTCGCCGTCTTTCAGTGTAGAGCACAAAACACCCATCCCATCCAGTATGAATATCACGATGTTCTACAAGCAGTACAGCTTGATAAGATCAGAAGCTAGATTGAAAATAAATCAGTATCCGTACAGATTGTCGTCGCCAGATCGCCCACATTTGTTGGAGATGTTGTAAAAATTGTCACGATCGCATGCTCGAGTGACCTTGTGAGAAACTCAGCCACCCTGATCAGTGAGTGAGATTACTGCGTGTTTGCGAGAGAGATCAGAGCTCCCTATTGGCTGCAGACCTCGTGCCTGTGTGATGAGAGCGCTAGACCTGCGTTGGGTTGTATTTTGCAAGCGGTCGACAAATTATGTACTGGAATTTATTCAATATTAAGGACTTCTCTTGGATGTGATTATTCAAGAGCGAATCGAGTAAGGAAGGAATAACGTCGTGGTTACAGTCTATAATTATTATTGTTATGAAAAGCTCAAAAGGGATCGTAAATAAGTATCAATGGTTGATGGTTGATGAGGGGATTCTCTACCTGCCCAGGTGGTAGTTATCAAGATAAGCAGGCTTATCATCGACCGAGCATGGCAATGCAAGGCTGAATTCAAGGCGATCTTGTGTAACCATGGCACTGGAACTTTTACTACCTGGGCAACCTAGTATAGGTATATAGACCGCGGTCGACATTGTCAGCCGAGCTTGGCCCATCACCGGTGGCCTTTTTACGTTGGGGATGGCATCAATTGCTGTTCACACGAGCTATACGAAGCTCGCCGAATACTCATCAGCGCTTGTACAGCACACACATACAGTATCACTAGAGCTCAGCTCTGAGCAATTGGGAAATTGGTGTCAGAAACATTGGCCCAAGCACTTCAGAATTGTCATCCAAGTGGAGAACATGTTCTGTTGTGAAATATATGAACACATCGAGTACGTGAAGTCTCAAAATTAAGCCCCAAGACGTGTTCATTGCTTTCCAGTCCCGGTTGGTCTCAAAACATTCACGAAGAGGAAGTCGGTGTGCGGAAGACGAAGTCGGAAATTTTATCATGTACAGAGGACAACTTTTGTATTATGAATGTAGCGAAACTACTCTATTATGTGAATTTGCGCCAAACGCTCCTTTGCTACCCAGCCAATTCGATCGCCTGAAAGGTCTAAAATCTTTCTTATGCTAAAACAATGGCATCCATTCATTATCAAGCTACCAATCCAA